TACGTATCATCCATAGCAGCATCGAAGCTACGAAGTGAACGAGGTGTGGTATGAACCAACCACGAACTCTCCGTTCAAATAGAACTACGTATCGTCCATAGCAGCATCGAAGCTACGAAGTGAACGAGGTGTGGTATGAACTAATCACGAACACTGCATTCAAATAGAACTACGTATCGTCCATAGCAAGATGTTCTCACTTTACGGTATGATAACGCACCCTCATTGTATACTACCCAGCCTTGGTCATCCACACTATCCACATGCGCCTTCAACGCCTTCTGATCCAATCTATCGTAATACAGACTTGCCCGAACCAATGGCCATAAATTATGGATGATCTCAGCCGCTCTGATGAACCCCCTACTATCCTCCAGCAGCAGGACCCCACTTACTTGTATCCCTCTATAGTCCTCCCTCTAGCTGGCAGTGCCAACGTACATCTCGCCTCGATGTACTCCGGACATATGAACATACACGACCTTTGAAGCACCTATGATACACTCCGTGTAATTTCTGATGAAAAAACCATCAAAACTCACACCAGCACTCTCCAGAAAATAATATTTCCCACAACTCCCCTATGAATATGAGCCTACCTGTTGTCCAGGGTTAGTAATTTGAACATCTCCACCTTTACTTCCAGACCAACCACCACCTCGCTGAGCTCTTGTAAGACCGTCATCATTCAACGTTCTGTTAACACCGATCCAAATCGATCAAATGGCCCAACTCGGACCTCAAAAATATCTTTACCTGTGGAAGTGGCGCGTTATATAATCGCAGCATGCAATCGATCGCAAGGGCGTGCGCCACAGGTCGGATGGGATCTTCGACGCTGACATGCTAACCCGAAGCCGAATTTGGGAAGGAGGCGCATAGGGATCCGATTGGACCTGAGATGAATCTTATCAACAGTGGATATGTTCCACCCATGATATGAAAAAAACACTAGTGAAAAACATAGTTCACATTTTACTTTACGAAAAACACGTGTGATCAGCGAAAAACGCGTAAAACACGTGGTAAGCTTGACGTGGGCTGATTTGTCCGGTGTAATTCGCTATCAAGTGTTTCCAATTCACCACATACCGCGAATATCGCGTTTTTCACATGGAGTAAAACGCCACCTCATGTGGAACTTTAATGAACCTAACATACCCTACCCGCTTCCTACCCTGTCAATGAATATCTTCCATTCGTCATTTGGCATCTGCCACTCCCCCACCAAGTCCTTATAATATCCATACGAATACCCTTCCAACCGAATCAGCGCTTGGGCCAATTCTGAATCATCCTCGCTTGAACCTAAGATACCATCCATCGATCACCTCCACACCAATGAGGACCTCCCATGGCCTCCCCCTTACTCTCCTCCATCTTACTACGCTTATACAACGGCTCAGTCGGCTCCCGATAGTCTCTATGGTGACTTCCTCCACCACCATACCTCGCCTTATAATACGCTCCTTTGCCTTTCCCTTTACCCATTGGACTACGAAAAGAACCCCAACTTACGAAAAGAACAACGTTAAAATTTATGTTCGCTCCCCTCAACTGAGCTTAGGAGTTTCCTCACTAATTATAGAAACTTACACACGAAATTAAACCAACAACAATTTCCTCTCAGAATTTCCCTATTGTCACCAACACATGTACATATTCTAGAAACTGCCCCACAGCCACCAACACAATCCAACACGACTAGAAACTCTTTCATGCAGCTAGCCGTGGAGACCCCTACAACAGACTCAACTCCAGCCGGCCTTCCTTCACCTCCTCACCCTTCGGTATCTCCACAGTCACCATCCTGAATACGGAATCCCTACCACCCTATCGCCATCCACAGAAGTCCATTAACACTCTTACATCCATCTGAACTAGGAGCTTTCCCAAAATACCACTAAATTTCCGCCCAACCTCCACATACCAACACTTTCTCACTTAATTGTTGAATACCCACTACTCAACCACATAGTGGATTCAAGCGGCGGCGCTAACGCACGAGTAATTACCATCACCTCCCTCACAAGAGACCA